TGGGAAATGGGGCAAAGAAGACTTGCCACCAAGTACACCAGGAGTTCTGAGCTAAGCGAGAGGGGAATAAAAGGCATTAAATCTCAAAAGGAGCAAGAGGGTCTCTGAGAGGTGTTCTTCAGGCTAAGCTGTTTCAATCTTAATCAGTTTATCAATATTATAATTGCATGCTTTTTTAAATACTTGAGATAGGAGAAAGAACACTTTCATCTTGTAGCAGTTTTGTAATAGGAGATACAGAGTTGCAGGCATTTGCATCAGTTTTTCCACAGAATTTCATTCTCAGTGCCTTCTTGGGGGATTGCTGCAAAACCACTATTCAGTAGGTAAGAATAATACACACAAACTATTGGAATTATTGTATATAATTCTTTTCTGAAAACAAGCATAGCATGGTCTTGGGCATATGGTGTGATTCTTGGGGTTGTCCTGTGTGGGGCCAGGAGCCGGACTCTATAATCCTAGTGGGTCCTTTCCAACTCAGGATGTTGTGTGATATATAGGAGACCAAAGCATCCTGCTACATTAGCATCCTTGAGGACCATAAGTCCTCTGTAAGCTCTCATTCTTTTCTCTGTAGAGGAGTAAAATATCTTTTTAGTAATAATTAATTCTGAGTTCTTATTCCTTTCAGATTATTCCTGGAAAAACAAAGCTGCTCGTCCTCCATTACCAGGTCCTACTTTCAATGCAGCAGGAAAAAACATGAGTATCTTCACTCGCCCCCCAACAATTCAGCGAGTGCATGGGAGAACAGACTGGGTGGCCAAATATGGAGGAAACAGATAGAAAATACCATCCTGTGTGGATATTACATGCTCTGTGAGAACCTGAAAAGCCTATTTGCGCCAGCTTTTCCTAAGACTATGCAACAGTAAAGAAGAAAAAAAGACTGTGTGTTCTATTATTTGTATAGCACATATAACACCATGTAAAATACTGGCTGTAAAGTAGGATGCAATGAAGTATTGTGCAACACATATTGCCAAAACTGAGACGTAGATTTCACCCCATGTTTTCTACAGATAGATCTCCTGTTCTCATAGTCTTTGCAACAGCTTGGGTTAGGGTTGTTCATCCAGTGCAACATCTGCTGCTGGGATGTGCTTGAAGCACACAGGCAGCACAAAGAAGGGCTGAAGCAGAGCAGCACCAGGCTTCCAGGTGTTAGGCTGGTTCCTTAGCAGGAAGACAAGAGTGAAAGCACAGATCTGGCTTTGTGAAGAGCATCAGTATCCTGCAAGGATTTCAGAACTCACTTGTAACTAAGAGTTACTCAGGGTCTGTAAGATACAAATATTCATGTAGCAATGAGAACTGAAACCCTTGTAATGGGACATAGGCAATCCACTGATAGATACTACACAAGGAAGGTCTAGGAATCTGGCTGATAGAGGGCTGTTGAATGATACAGCAATATTGGAAAATAGCTAAACAATTACTGAATACTACTTACTGTGAAGTAAAGCCCAACAATCAGATTCTGCTGTTTTAATTCACTTGTAGCCATTTTTGGTCAAAGATCTGTAGAGATTTATCTCTGTCCTGTCAAGGGCGTGTCACAGTGACCTTTAAAGAGCCTAAATCACTGCAGTCTGTCAGTCATTTTAAGGGTGAATTCGCCAAAAATACCTAAATTATCATTAAACTCATATTTCTACATGTCTTTGTTGGGTGATCAGACTAAACTACAGAGTTTGAATAGGCTGCATGAGGAAGACTATTGGTGTGTTCTTCAAAGACATTGCTTTCGGTCTTAGATCTTAAAGGCCAATCTAGGTACCTGAAAACACTCACAAAACTTTAATAATTCAGTCTGTCAGTGTTTATATGCTCATTCAGTACTTTCCCCAGCTTTTATGCTAACTTTTATAATAATATTGCCCAAAGGATTTTGCAATGTATAGTGAATTTTTTATTAGGATGTTGAGCTGGGCTACTTCTGTTAACAAGTGCATTTAGAATAAATGCTTTAGACTTTATAGTAACATTAAGCTTGCCCTTTTAAAGTAAAAACTGAGTATGCTCTTTAAAGATGTAATGTTGTTAATGATGACTTCAAGCATTTTAAAAAAATTAATTTATTTGTATGGCTTTTATAAATGAATATTAAAATCTAAACTCCTTTTGTTGACCCAGTGTGTCATAATATATGGGTTACATTAACTTCCTGGAACACGATTTAATCTAAAACAGTTGTACCAAAAAGTCAAATATTTTGTTAGGAAAATTGCACCTAAAGAAAATGCCCCTTTTTTTTAATTCTGTCAGAGCTATGCGAGGATAGGGCTGTCTGGTTAGTAATGCACTAGCGAGTTTAATTCAATTGCCACTGGTCTAGGATCAAGTATTTGCCATTCCCTTAGTACTAAGAGATGTCCCTATGCTACCTAAATGCATCTTAATGTAACTGTAGAACATACCTCTAACTTGCTATGGCAATGAAGAACACCCTCAGACAGTTTGCAACAGCCATAAAAGCTGTGATTTTATAATTAAAAAACAAAATTAATCACTCTTCTCTTGTACAAGATGCCAGTGACAGTTGAAATCACAGCCTGGTCAAGGAATTAAGTAATAGTGTGCCGATAGCTCACGTGTCTGTGAGTCAGTCACCTTAGAGCAGAAAAATAAACAGCTACTGTTTATGGCACTAAATATGGTTAGAAGAAACATGCCGTCCTTGGCACATGCTAATGAACCTTGAAAGGGCTTTGACATAACCAGATCAGTCTTTACTTGTCCACAAGCAAAGCATGACAAGTGTTGAATAATTCTTGTTGCAAGCAGCAAGAAGAGGCTAACAGGCTTTGTACAATCATTTAACTCTGATCCATTGGTACACATTGGACTGCTAGTGCAGAAATGCTTAAAAATTATTATATGCTAATAAAATTTCAAAGGGGTAAAAAGTAAGGCTAAAATTTTTCTCTTGACCCTTTGCCTGTATTACTGCTGTTTATCCTGAGGATGAACATTCTACCACAAGTTCTAAAGGACTTCTACCAGCAGTTCTCAATTCAACCTATTGCTTTCCAAAGCTCAGGAAACAGCAGCAAGGGTTCACACTTTCATCTAAAGTATAAAAGCTTACCAACACACATACCTGTCCAGTTTTCTGCTTTCTATTGTCTTTATTCTGTTAAAGACAACTGCAATTCAAATTCACAAGTTACCTGGCTTGAGACCAGCGTTATACAATTACAAAACTGCTGGATCATGGCTCTTCTCAGTTTATTGCAGGAGATGCATTTATGTTTGCATCCTACTCCTACAGGAGAAAACTGCTTCAACAGTAATACGAAGAGGCAAAACACCTCCCCATAAAGCAGTTTAAGGAGAAGTATCTTAAATGCTAATGTATGGCTTACTAACTTTTTCAAATTAGAACAAGGATGTGGGGACACCTGCCTACCAATGCTGGGTCCTGGGCTGGAATTAGGCACTTAAAAGGGTCATATGTTAACAAACCATTTGCTGTCCTGCACACCCCTTATTTTTATGCAGGGAGGTAGGAGAAGAATGTAAATACAGGTGAACACCTGAAGCTGAACTCTTCAGGGTGATGAATAAGGGCTCTAAGAAGATGCTCTGAGCACAGTTCCCCATCCAGATCTGTCTGTGCTCAAGCCAGTTCTGACCCAAGCCATCTGGCCTGGGACCAGGCTGCCGAGACGCTTGCTGGAGCTGCACCCATTCCTGACAGAATCTGGAGATTCTGCAGATCTGGAACCCAGTCTGACTGACCTGACTCCTGGCTTGATCCCTGCCTCATCCCTGTGACTTGCCTGGCAAGCCACCTCCCTGCAGGCAGAGCCTAGCTGTGGCCACTGGCCCAGCTCTGCGCCTCCTGCTCACACAGCACAAGGTCACTGCCGTGCCTGTTCTGCTGCAACAAGGGAGGAGGGAAGGAAAACCACTGGATGTGACCCTCCTGCCAAGGTATTACCCTGATACTCAAAGAATTCTGATCACCTCCAGAGTCTCACCAATCTAATGCACCAGCCCTCTTGCTTCCATCTCTCTCAGTACCAGGCACCAAAGAAAAAAGGTTGAAGAAATCGAAGCTCAGGATCTGTGCAAAAAGGGACATGAGTTAAATGTGACCAGAAAAGGGATACATTACCAACCATGTCTACCTTCCAGGATTTTTCTCTATGGGAGGTTTATATTTAGAATTATTTCAGGCATTAAGGGAATCAACTGAGGACAAAGACTGATGAAATAAGCCCTTTGGTCTTTAAATAAACTTTCATACAGTATTTTCTAAATCTAAAATAGATTATCCCCTCAGAAAACAAAACAAACCCAACAAAACCAAAAAGCAACCAAATTAAAAAAACCCAAACCAAACAACCAAAAACCAAAACTCAAACTAGAAAATGTCAATATAATACTTGTCTGACTACATAGTTGTCGCAGTCATCTTTTTATGAAGATCCTTTCTTAGGATTTTTTCTTCCTGAGAAGCTGAGAGGCTCCAGGAACAAAATGTAAACAATGGTTGTCTGCTGCTGTGGAATGCAACAGGTGGATCCATGACTGGTCTCGTGTGGATGTTTGGATTTAGTGACCAGTCACAGCAGAGCTGGCTCTCTCTCTGTCCCAGCCAGCTGCCTTTGTTAGCACTCTTTCCTATTCTATTCTTAGCTTAGCTAGCCTTCTGAGATGAGACTTTTCCTTCTATTCTTTAGTATAGTTATAATGTAATATATATATCATAAAATAATAAATCAAGCCTTCTGAAACATGGGGTCAACATTCTCATCTCTTCCCTCATCCAAGAACCCCTGTGAACACTGTCACATGTAGTCTGTATGCTTTTGTGCTCTCCACCTCCCTCCCAGTTCAGATTTTTATACTTACAAGTTACTAGATTCAGGGATACAATAGATTACTTATACAATTCATGCTTGCAAATATATCCTGACACCCTGCAGAAAAGGCACCAAATCCAGGTGAACAATTGGAGACAAAATAAGCTGTGTAGAACACAAAAGTTTGCAATAATAATTTCTTAGTTTATTTAAAATAAGTTTTTAATAAAGCTGTGCCTACAATTCAGCATTACCTAATAAAGCATATTTTTGATTTATGAGTAGTAATCTGTAAAAGTGAAATGAATGACATACAGCTGAACTTACAAGTGATTTAAAGGCATGGGTATGCATTTATTGCATTAAGTGATTGTGTTTTGTGGGACCAAGTTCTAACACACAGTGCTGGGAGAACAAACTCCCTGACTGACAAACACTGTGAATGGATAAACTGACATGAAAAGGGAGAGATGGAACATCATAAATACGTTTATTGTATTAATTACTAGGGACAAATCAGAAACTCCTCTCCCCTGCTTTTAGAGGTACACATGATTTTAGAAGGACAAGTCAGATGTGCATTTAAGCCTCAATCCTGCAACTGTCTGAATGCAAGGGCCAGGAGGTCTTTGCTGACACTAAGTTGCAAGACCAGAAGCTAAACTAATGCTACACTCATATTTTCTTGCTTGCTTTCAGTGAAGAAAATGTTAAGACAAATACCATGACAAGGGTTCTCCGTGTCGGTCCTCTAAAAACACAACCCACGTGCATTAGGATGTGAAAAATACAATGCACAGGTAGCAGTGCCTTTTCCACTTATGTGCAGCACATTTAGGCAGTTGCATTTTGGGTTTCTCAGTCATGTCTTCAAGTCACTTGATGCAGATTTATGGCTTAATAGGTTTTTCCATCATCTGCAATCCAAGCCGTCCAACCATCAGTAAACTGTGGAACAGAATAGTTGTTATAAAAAGAGGGAGGTGGAGGCAAAAATCCCATAAGGAACAAGAAGGAAGAAAACATTGACATTATTTCATTTAGCTGAACACCACCACAAGATTTCATTTTTCACAGAACTTACCATGTTACATTTTTAAAACAATATAATCCACAAATAAGCTAAATAAAATGCTTATTCAATAACAGAACAAAGGACAGGTGGTTACCTGGCACCAGCAATTATCCCGGGCATTGCCTTTTTGGAGTTGTAAAATCTCATTCCCATAACAGTAGACAAGGTGCCAGATGCCACTGTTGAAAAGAAGCCCAGTCAGAACCATTTGACACAGAAATGCCAGCGCAGCATTGCCACACTCGGACACTGAGCAGCACCAACCAAACAGGCCACACATACAGACAGGAATGCCTCCCTTTGGGAGGAAACTATTTGATTCTCTTCAGCATCAAAGCTGTCATTACAAGCTTCTCAGCAGCTTTGGTAAGCACACTCTGCTGCTCAGCAGACGCGAGGAGATCTCACCAGGGCTGAGACCATGGTCTAATCACCCACAAACTCTAATCCTCTGAACAGGTCACTAGCTGTCCCTCAACCCTTACTTCCAAAGCAACGATTATTCCCTCAAACACAAGCAGGCTTAAAACTGCCAGAAAGCTGGGATGGTGACAGTATTCACTGGGAGGTAAATATTATTTACACTTCCCATTTCTCTGTGACATTCTGAACTGGAAAGTGGCAGTAAATACTACAACTGGAAAGAAAACAACCCCACTTGAAAATATGATTAGAAAACAGAAAGCAATACAAAGGATCAAACTGAAAGAGCAATTAACATCTTAGACATTACTGCAAATTATTTTATCTCTAAATGTAGAAAAGGAATCCCATCAACATTCACATGAAATTTACAGGGCCATTATTTCTTTGAAGAAGAAAGGCAGTTGAAAGTGCAATATACCTTTTTCCAAAGTCTCAAGACAGGGTAAAAGGTATTCTAGAGATATTCTGTCAAGGTTCTATTTCTGCATTTCTCCCTCTGATGTTCTGGGACCAACTTACAGCTCTGCAGGAGCCACAGCTGCACATTGCAAGGAGGGATGGAGGGATGGAGGCAGAGCTGTACTACACTGTGACACAGCACTGCTTTCAAGAGGTCCATTTGAAAACACTCCATGCACTACATCAGGATATACAAAAGCTGCTCATCCCTCCTCCATGACACTGCCTAAAATCTGTGCCAGAGATGCCCAGCCACTCCCATAGTATGCCAGAGTGGAAGGACAGTTCACAAATGGAAATTGTGCTTTACATTGAGCTGCATTTTACGTTTCATTCCTTACTGATGAGATTGGTTCTCTACAGTGGCTTCACAGAGCCTTTCAGCACATTAGTCCTATTGGTTTAAAATAGTCTTACGTCACTGTAAAGCTAAAGTATCATAGCACTAGTAACACCATGGAGTAGTTACAGAACTAGCAGGATCCTCAAGAACTCATCTAGGATACTCTAGTGCCTAAAGGCACAATCAGTTCCTAATAGTGGTTTAACCTCAGATATTACACTCCTGCAGCAAAGGAACTCCCTGAGGTCCACCTGAGTGCTTCATAATACTTTTCACAGTGATTTCATTCTTCTCCTTCCCCTGCAGAAGATTTAACTGCAAGCTTAACACCCACAACTTCTTGTAAGCTGTACTGAAAGCAAGCAGAATAGATCACTGCCTCTTTTCTTCAACATACTCTTTCTTTCAGAGTGTGTGATGCATTCGAATGTGTACTGCTCCTCTGAGATGCTTGTGCAAACCACGGTTCCCTAAGGCCACATACCACCTGTCACACTGCTGTCACTATTGCAAAAATAGTGCTTATTCCACCACCACAAGCTAAAAACGCTGCTTCACAACCAAAAATTTTCCACGTATGCTTCCTGCATCGAATGTGTTGGTGCAACACATTACCTAATCTGGCAGAGGAGACAGGTGTTTCTCCCCAACTCTGGATTCACACAGGACAAACAAAAATTGTGCTCTTACACAAGTACCTCCTGGCTGTGGGCAGGGGGTCCCGCCACCACTTACAACATTTGTATAGGTACAACGGCACAGGGCAGCTGAAACATGCTAGCAAAAACAAACGTTACTGTTCCCACCGCTACCAGCAACACTCAGTATTCGGCTGCCGAGCAAACTTACCGAGGGAAAGCCACACATTCTTTGGATCTTTGGACTGCTGGTACGCGCCTAGTCCCGCTAAGCCGCCGAACAGCAGACCGGCAGCTAGAGACGGGACGCTGCCTTGAATAAAAAATAAAGCAGTCAGCGGAAGAACAGAGAGGCTGACACACAGAGTCAGCCTGCAGCCAAACGAAAACACTTTGCGATTTTGCCGTTCTAGTAAATCCACAAAACCAATCTAACTACTACAGCATTACGGCTTAGGTTGAGGGGTTTGGGGAGTTTTTTTAGCACACTTCGCAGACCTCCGCGAGCGCCGTTTCATTGCACTTGTTTGGTGGCAGCAAGGACTGAGCGGCACTTGCGGTGTCACCGCCGGCAGCGGCCCCGCAGCGGGGCCGGGCGGGGCGGAGCGGAAGGGAGCGGAGCGGGGGCTGCCTGCGGGCACGGCCGGGACAGGGACAGCCAGGGCCACCAGCACCCACCTGCCTTGACGTAGCCCACGACACCGCCCGCCGCCACCAGCGCCGCGTAGCCGAAGCCCAGCCAGTCGTACTCCATCTGCGGGCAGCCGCGGAGACGGACCACGCACGGCAGCGCAGCGCAGCCCCGACCTTGGGCCGCCCTCACGCCGCCCCGCCCCGTGGCCGCCTCACGGAGGCCCCACCCGCCGCCCATTACGGCGCCCGGGGAGGGCCCGCACCGGCGGCAGCGTAGTGGCGGCGCTGCCTCGGCTCCGGGAGGATTTGCTTGATTGATTGCCCATCAGTAACGCAGTTTTTCAGCTTTTCCAAGTCAGAAATGAAGCAGCAAACACCCATCTCCCCTTTTCTTCCCAGGCTCGGCATCACCCCGCACTGACAGGGGGTGGGGAGTGGAGGTTGCGGTCGGTCCGTAGCGCCTCTCCTGCGATGCTGCTCCCTCCTCGCACTCTTGCTATGCCCAAGCGTGGGGTCTGTGAAAAATGCGTATTTTATGTTTGGCTTTTCGCAAATATTAAAATGAGTATTATATGTGTTATGTTAGAAAGATATACTGAATTAATTTTTTAATAGTGTGTTAAATATAGTTTTAGGTTATAACATAATGTTAAAATAGAAACTGTGCTATGTAAGATACTTTTTAAAGAAAGGACTCGCAGCGAGATAGCAGCCACAGGACACCTAAATCTTTCAGAGAAAGAGAATTTATTGCTCTCTTATCAGAAGAAACTAACTTCTTCCCGCCTTGCTCAGCCATGAAGACGCCGTCAGGATTAAGAGGAAAAAGTTGATGCTGACCAGACAGAAGCCTTTGTTTGAATGGAATTTATGCATCATGTATGAGATGTATGAATATGCAAACAGCTATTAAGTGTTGATCCTCTGTTAACGTGGGTCCTTTTTCGGGCTTGTTTTGCCCAAAAAAAGGTACCTCCGTAACTCTTTGTTTCTATTGTCTCATATTGTCCTAATCCAAATTGTCCAAATTATTATTACTCTAATTATATTGCTATTTTTATAACCATTTTTTATCATTAAACTTTTCAAATTTCAAGAACAAGTGATTGGCGTTTTTCACAAGGTCCCTCCCACAGGAGACAGTCCTGCACAACCTGCCACAGCGCAGGTCCTTCCATGGGGTGCAGTGCTTCGGGAACAGGCTGCTCCAGCCTGTGGATCTTCTGCGTGGTCACAAGTCCTGCCAGCACGCTTGCTCTGGCGTGGGTTCCTCTCTCCGTGGGCTGCAGCTTCAGCTTCCTCCAGGGCACCTACTCCAGTGTGGGGTCCTCCTTGGGCTGCAGGAGGATCTCTGCTCTGTGGGCTGGAGGGGGTTAGCCCACCTCACTGCGGGCTGCAGCACGGGCTGCAGGGGAACCTCCGCTCCTGCACCTGGAACACCTCCTGTCCTCCTTCTTCACTGACCTTGCTGTCTGCGGGGCTGTTCCTCCCAAAAGGTTCTCCTTCCTCTCTCCAGCTGCTAATGCTGTTGTGCAGTAGGTTCTTTTCACTTCTTAAATACATTATCACAGGGATGCCACCACTGTCATCCTGAGTTCAGCCCTGGCCAGCAGTGGGTCTGTCCTGGAGCTGGCTGACTCTGCCCAACAGGAGCGTTGGTCCTGGTGTCTCCTCTCATAAGCCAATCTTTCCCTGGAAACCCAATCCAGATGTCAAAAGAAGGCATCTGGATTCCTTGGCAGCTCTGCTGAGGATACCACACACATGGCAGAGCAATGGTGGCGTTGTGCTACAGGGCACAATCCCCAGCGCCACGTGGAGCAGCCTGCCCAGCACTGCACTGGATGCATTCCTTTGTCCTGAAGGCAGGCTTGCTAACTGGTGTCCCGTGCCAATTCACTCACTGACACAGGTATTTCCATCTTTCATTCTAGCTTGCACAAAGTAGCGAGCTTGGTCTGCTCACTTGTCATCAATACTTTACACTATGTATACATTTTAACAAACTGATTGCACTATTTATACATTTTAACAAACTAAGGCAGAAGGATTCAGTGGTAATGTAACTTTCCTATAATTACTACTTGACCCCCTGTCTATTTGCTAGTTATATCTCTCACTTATTATGCTAATCAGTCCACAGGTGCAACTCCCTCCATTTTAGTTCAAGCACCTAATCAAATTAGGTAGGAAAGTTTGGTGTTACCTACTGAATGCCATTGCTTTGCCTTCAGTGCCTATTTCTAGGCCTATTTCTAATGCCTGTTTCCAGCCTCTTCAAGTGCCCCTCACAAAAATGACATTCACACACCAGCCAATTGTTAATCATTCTTATGAGTAAGCTTTCATGCCCACATAGCAAACCACCACTGTGCTGGCAGTCACCAGCCCCGAGACAGCAGGATTTGCTAGGCAAAGACCTTTTCTTGGATGACCCTCTGTTACCAAAGGTCTGAATCTTCCCTGGATTCCTAGAGTAGGGAAAGGATGGAGATGGAAAGCAAAGCCATAGCTAGAGGGTGGTACTGTGAATCTGGAGCAATGAAAATTGGTCTTTGTTTAAATCCATTGAGAATGATTTGCAGAGGGTCATCAAAAGTGCCTCTCTGCTGTGGAGTAATGCCAGAAAAACTTTTTTTAAGCATTATGTCAAGCTGTTAATTAGATGTTTGTATGATCACAGGCTGGCTCCTGGTGAAAGCTGAGGGTGTTGATCTATTCCTGCACATCACGATGTAACACCTTATTGTGATTTTGAGACCATCCTTCATTATGTTCACAGCACTTTCATTCATTGTTTGGTCCTGCTGATGCCACTGCTGACAGCTCACATAAATCAGAATCTTTGATGCTTTAACAGAATTAGAAACCAGTGACTGACTCAGAAGCCAGTGAGCAGACAGTCCTACTGGCTACTTCTGTTTTATGCCTCTTGTGGCTATGCTATGATTTATTCATGGGTGTCAGCCTTGTATTTGTGGGTTTCAAAATGATGGGTTTGTGGTAGCTCTGTGCTCATAAATTAAGTGAGACAAGGTTTGAAGAATAAGGCAGAGGAATTGATACAGCCAACAGAGGAATGCAATATGCGAGAGAAAAAACCAAACCAGACTACAAGCTCACTAAATTGTGCTTGGATTTTTCTTTGTTCTGCATCTGTGGGTGCCCCTGGAAGTGTCCCAGCTCAGGCTGGGTGGGGGCCTGATCTAGTGAATGAAATTCCAGCCCATGGTAGCAATTTTGGAACTAGATGACCTTTAAGGTCCCTTCCAACCTAAACCATTCTGTAATACTATGATTCTACATACACATTGTTTTCATTACTAAAGTGAAATTGGATACTTTGGTAAACATCTGGGGGGTGGTTTTGGTTTTTTTGTTGTGGGTTTTTGTTTTGGTTTTTTTTTTTGCTCTGTCATATAAATAGAAGACAAAGGAGGTACAGATGCAGGAGCTCAAGCTCTCTCTGTGGAGGTGCACCACAGCTGCTGAACTCAATCACTGCTGTCACTGTTGTGCAGGGTAGTCTAACCTTCCTTAACATCCTTCCTACCAGACACCCCCCTCAGTTTTTCATCTTCCCCTGTCTTTTACTGCTATTTCAAATTAACACCCGTATGGTAAGGTCTCACTGGTTTTGATGCACTTCTTCAGTTTGGCTGCCAGAAGTCATTGTTTTGTCTCTTCTACAGTGAATAACTGTGTTGTTGTTTCTACAAAAAAAGAGACTGCTGAGGCAGGTGTGGCACTCAAAAATCAGTCACACAGTGAAACCAGATTGACTTACTTATAGAAAAGCATAACCTGGAGTAGCATTCATGAAAACAAAAACAAACAAACAAACAAACATTTAAAAAACCCCAACAAAACTTAAATAATCTTAAATAACCTAAGGACAGTAATCTGTGATGTTTTTCTGGATTCTTACTTGAATAGGTAATTTAACCCGGAATGTATCTGGGTATCCATAAAATATCTGTATTTCTTCAGGTTCAGAGTGCTACATGCCATTATATCCATCAATTTCAAACTGCCAAGCTCATTGCTTCTGCTGTTGACATTTTGCTATTCACCTCTGGAGTCTTAACAATGAAATGTGATGTTGTTTGTACTCTGGGCTACTTTAAATATTCACACAAAATGGCGAGCACAGCTTTATTTTATTTGGGATTTTTTCAGTTTGGGAGATATTCAGCTTGTTAGACCAAGGAAGGGATGGGCTGGTCCCAGACCTCTCTTAAGTTCTTAAGTCTCTAGATCTTCCTAAAACTCTCTATTTGAAATAATTACTCACTCTGCAATATTTCTCTCTTTAGCTTCCTCCATGACAGCAGGATAGCAAAGCTCTCTTCTCCCCTCTTCCAAATACTAAGCAGAATTTCTTCTCTGGAGGTAAACTTTTGGTGCCTCTCTGCCGGAATCTTCATCATTAGGTGTTGACAGCTCTAAAAGCAGAACAAGCTGACTGAGGCAGATCCTGTCTGTTCAGAACCTTCCCTGCAGGTTACCAGCCATGCTCCAGGACATCTAAATGTCTTGTGTTCCTGTTACAGAACTGCTGCAGTTTGCAATCCAGTTTGTAAAAAGACCCTGAAATTAGCAATGTTTTCATAAAATTGGTGGTAAACTGCTGTTATTCAAGAGTTATTCTTTGGGCCATCACTGCTTGCTCAGAAGAAAGGCAGGAGAGCAGCACACAGTCTCTCTAGATTCAGGCACCCCAATTTTTACTGCTTTTTGTGCAGCTGACTGGGTCACTCAACAGTGCTGCTAACATGTCATGTGAATACAACCACAACAGCTAGAGGAGTAAGCACCCATAGGTTTGCTTCCTTGCTTTGTTTTTTAGGACATGATGACTGATAACCATGACTTTTGTCTTCTGTTTGCCACACTAAAATATTCTCAAGCCCCGGTTTTTTGTTTGTTTGGTTTTTTGTTTTGTTTTTGTTTTTGTTTTGTGTGTGTGTGTGGGGGGGGGTTGGTTTGGTTTTTTTTTTTCTTTTTTTTTTTTCCTTCTCTGCAGCATATCGGGTCTGTTGAGATTTTGTGCATTTTACCACGGGTTTGAAGTGACAATCTGCTAAGACGTTGGATGGCCTCCCTCTAGTGGCTGTTACTGTGGAATTAAAATGGAGA